AGCAGCAGCAGCAGCAATAGTAGTGGTAGTGTGTCAGGACGCGATGGGTCCATACCCCCCTCTTTCAAGACCCATGATGCGTCTGATTGCAGCCGCAGGCACTCGTAGAGCTCCGCCGCCTGTCGCGTGATAGCAGATCGGACACATCTTGCAGATTGCATACGTTTTGAAATTTCATCGAGTAGTTTTTTCAATTTGTATGTTTCTACTTGTATCATTCTTTTAAGGTCTGTCCCTTGTTGGGTCCCCAATATAGTACGGCGACCCTACAAAAAGGACCCTAAATGGGACCCTAATTTAGAGAACTGCCCATGTGGCATACAACTGCCCCATGCATTTTCAGTCGCTCGGATTCGAGCCTAGAATCCCAGCTTGAGCTGCTGGTCTTAAGCCCCGGAAAGAACAGTTTATGTTTTTGGTCGCCCCGTTTCCTCTCGTGCTGTTCATACAGTGTAGGGGTTTAGAGTTTAAGGCTTCATGCATCCGAGACCGAAGGGGAAACCCAATTGCCCTAGCTTCGTGGACCGACTTCTAAGGAGACATCGAGCTTCAGCGATGTGTTATTATGTTGTACTATACTATACTATACGTTGAGGAACCAGAGAGCTGCGCTGCGCAATTTACCGTTTTGCTGTTGGCTAGGTCCAGGTGCCTCCTCGCATTTCACAATTTCAACTGCGGCTCCATTCGGCTCTAGGTTGCTGAACAAACTGATGCTCTGCTCCGGCTTTGCATCCCGTCGAAGCTCACCATAAGATCGACCCGAGAACATTGCCTGTCGAGGATTGTCTGCCGTCACGATGACGTGTGCTTTCGGCCAGACCCCCTGCACCACCTGCTACGCTGCTGGCTTAGGAATGAAAAGGAGCAAAATAGGAATACTGACTCATAGAGCAAGCCCCGCTAACACGTAAACCATAGTAGTTAGCAGTGTAGTTAGCGATACTTCGAGGCTTCAACAACACATGTTTGCTTTTTCAGGCATCGGAACTCACTGCTCATTGCCTTTCTTGCTCAGCGGAGGGTTGAAGACGATCAGAATTTTGAATGATCGCGGACTGATGTTAGGATGCCCAAACTTGACCAAGCATGGACAAGGAGCCCAGGGGTGGTGGATGGACCCTAAACCCTAAACCCGAAATTATCTTGCTTAGGGTGAGAACGGCCTCCTCGGCAAATTGGGAGTTGACTGAATTTTTTGTTGGGGGCTTCTAGCTATGCTTTGAGGGCCTGTTTCCGCATCGTCTCTTCTGCAGAGAGCCTCCATGAGGCAGCCTAGTTTGCAATCCCTAGCACTTACCTGCCATGATGAACGTTCGATTTACTCTCAACTGACTGCAGTTCACTCGCCTGTCTGCAGTCTTCGGGTTTAGGGCCGGGTACATCGCTACTCGCAACCCAAAAAGCTGTTCAGCGTGAATCTGTGCTGGAAGCTTCCTCTGCAGAAGGGCCGCCCCTATGTGGCCATGATGCTCAAGTCCAAGTCTACTCAAGACGATGGGGACTACACTACACGGGCCGGAATGTTTAGACTGAGGGTATGCTTGAGGTCTTTATGTTTCAGAGCTTAAAGATGTTGTCTATCAGAGTCTATCAACGTTTCACAGTCAGCATCAGGGGCAGCCCTCAAGGTAGATTCTATAGAACCTGAAATTCGCCAAAACCTGCATTGTGTCAAACCTATAACGAAACCTGCGCCTTTGATTTGTATCTCGCGGAGCGATCTTACACACAACCTAAACCCTCCACCATGAACCCCAGGGTTGTAAGCTAAACTAGCTAAACTTGGAGCCTTGATCCTGCTAGACTCATCGAAATTCTACATCCCAAAGAAGCAACGTGGGTTTCAGAAACCACGAGGCCCTAAATTCAAAGTTTGTTCATAGGATCTCCCCACGGACCCCTAATTCTATCAAATCCATAAGTGTCTCCGAGAGCTTTGGGAGTTCGAGCCTGGAGGATGCGCATGTTGGTGGTGCCTGGGCTTTGCGCTCACATTGAGCCGGACAGTCTGCGGTACGCTGTACGGATCGTCACTTTGAGGGAATACTACTGTTGCTTGCAGAAACCGTTGTCTTCCAGATGTTGCGGATCACGGCTTTCAAGCACCGAACAAACGAGGCAGAACCACGATCAGTACATGTTCTGCGGACCTAGTCTCAGGAAGCTGATTGTTCAATGGCATTCTGAAGATACCATAAAAGTCATCAGGCTGCTGATGCCGACTTGCTGTCAAAATCAGCCATGATAACTCCGGCAGAAGAGAACGATGGTTTCGCGCCATCATGTGCAAAGGGAGACCGTAACAGGCAAAAGCCCGGTCTGAAAACATGCCCGAGATGGACGCAGATTCGGAGACATCCCCATGCCGAATTCCGACCTTGCAGCTGAAAGGCCTTGAAGCATCGTGTCCGGTGTCGTAGAGATGATGATCTGCGCAGTTACGGCACAGCAATGCACAAGGAAGTGGTCAAGACGGTCTGCAGCAAGAATCTCGCTGAGGCTGACACAAGTAGCAGCGCCCGACCCATCGTCAAGAATAGCACCATAAAGCACGAACATCACAAACAATCGAGGCCACATCATCGCATCAAGCAGTGCCTTTGGCTCTCCATGGAAGCAGTGCTCCAGGACATCAGGGCTTGAGAAGTCACCTGGAAGCCACGCGGAGTGGACTCGGTTTTGTATGTTTGGAGAACTTTGATTTGGGACCGCCTTTCAAGTAGCTATGACATGCTATGACAATTGACGATGGGTAGCAGGCAACAGCCACCGATCAACACATTGCACGTCCAATTTGCCAAGGGGCCGTAGGTAAACTTAATTCCGCGTCTCAGCAGCGGCTCCTGACAGCAGAAGACGCACTACTGCGACATGCTCAGAAACTGCAAACCCTTACCTAAGGAAGATACTTTACTTCTCATTCGGGTTCCTATCCTAACTTCAGGTATAAAGCCTTGCGTCGGCAAAGATCAATACGTCCCTAGGTGCTAGTTTGAGGAATGCCGGCTGGGAGTACTACAGGCGCATTAATCATTCGGCCTCCCTGCTGCTAGCTTGCGTATGCACTTCTATACATTCAGGACTGTCGGGTATTCATATATGTCTAGCCTTTTTAGGCTGTTTTTTGCGGGCGGGCCCCGAACAAGCATCAGAAAGAACATTGGGTCTGGTAATGGCTGTGAACGGGACGGTATGTGTCCTTGATGGCCTGGTTGAACTCCACCACCTGCCCCGGAGTGCGACTCTGCAAAACGGATTCTATGCGTTGAGGCCATACTATCTTGCTTTAAAGGACTTTCCACTCCATCCTATTCCTTCCTATTTTCCACAAGAGTGTGGTACGCACTAGTAGGTTCTAACGTTCAGAGTAGAAAGGGTTGGTTATAGTGTAGCTGCAAAGCAACGGCGACAGGAGATCCCGTGCACACTTTGTATGTCTCATTGCTTAGGGTTTAGGGTGCGGTCGCGTCCCTCGGAAAGCCACATCCATTGTCAATTCGAAATGCCTGAATGCCGCCAGTACCCGGTACATGTTGGTCGTGCTCCTGAACCCCGCCAGTGTATGGGGAGAAGCATTCGTGCTTCGAGTAGTGATTCGACTGTTTCTGGGAATTCCTGGAGAAGCTCACCCGGCTATAGCCTGGCTATACCGGCCTGGCAATCGGATTCCCCAATATTCGATCCTGCTTGTGACCACATCCCACCGCCGCAGGTTGCTTGAGGCAAGTCGGATATGGGATTTTCAGACCGGCTGAAGCCGTGGGAACCGATAGACCCCCACGGTTATGTGCACAAGCAATGAGTTCTTGTGGCAAGGAAAGTGGGTTTCGGCTTGCGGCCTTACCCTAAAAGCTAAACCCCTAATTGATGGCTTCCCAGCCCTCAGCCTGAACCCGATAGGTATCGGGCTTAACGTCAGGGGAACCCAGCCTGCAGCTTCTTGAGAAGCTGGGGGTGGTGGTGCTCAAATTCTGCCACCAACATGGAGGCAATGCGGTGGAAGCCTGACATGAACAGATCCTATAGCTGACTACCATCCATCGCACATGCGCATGTAGAGGTCCGAGGCCCTGCGCGGGATGCCTTTAATCACGGGGGGTTATTAATCAACAGTTGACATTGCATAGGTATGCATCTATGTGTGTGTGTGTATGTATGTACAATACGTAAGCCATTGCATGTATGTACACACAAGTCACACGGGCTTCAGACCGCGGTTAGTGCGATCGTCGGCTCACGAGGGCCAGGCCAAGAAGAAGGATGTCACGCTCGTCCTCATGCCTGTTGCAAGCGGATCGTGCTGCGGTAGATCCGGACTTCGGGCTCTTAAAGTGGGGGTGATCAGGCTTACGAAACCAGGGATAGGTGTGGGTGCAGGCTGAGGCCGTTGAGACGCTCTCGCTCTCTCTCTTCTTCCCCAGGGCATGAGGGGTCTGTCAAACCCCCCGGCCAGTTGGCCCCCCAATTGTTATTTCTCTCTCTCTCTCTCTCTCTCTCTATCTATCTATATATTGATTGATTAATTGATTGATTGATTGTTTATGTATCTATCTATTTGTTTATATGTGTATATACATACCGTTACAGACCAATACCGTCGATCCAGAAAGCTCAACTGCCCGGCTGCAGAGTCAAAAGGCTAGGAGAGAGACCGAGCAGAAACGGCCGGGCAGCACGTCTAGCACTGTCTGAGTGGGCTTTGAGCGTCCGGCGCGTGCTCCTCAGTGGAGTCATCAATGCCCTTCTTGCTTACCTGCAGACATGCAGAGGAGCTTTAATTTGGCTTGAAGTTTCAAGCAAGGACTGCCATCGTCATCATCAATAGCACTGTACTGCCGACAGTATCATTGGCATCACCATGGTCGCCGTTGTCGCTTTCGTCGCCACGCCATCGGCATCGCTACCAAAACATTGATTAGCATCATCAAACATCGCACAACCGGTCATGGCCTACACGGCCATGTTAACGATTAGATGTCGTGAGCATTGCTTTGTACTGGGCCGCCTTCCGCGACAACCACGCCATGATCCTGACAGGCATCGTCGACGTCATGCTACCGGAAAGTGCCAGCAGACAACGCCATGATCCGTGTCATGATGCTGTGCCCCTGTCCCAAGTACAATGATGCACGAATTGCCGCCCTGTGTCTTGAAAATCTCGTGGTTGTAGTTGATGATGTTGGAGGAAAGGACAGACAAGAACATGAACACCTTGTTCCACATCGCAGTCTCACCAATGACACCGGGCGCTTGCTTCCGTATGCTCATGTACGGCACTGGCGGGAATCGAAGGATCTTGAACCCAGGACATGAAAGGTTTGAGTTTAGGATCCAGTTTCGCCCGGAACCGAAGGGTATTGCATTCAAGCGGCCCAGATGATGATCTCCAGCGTTTTCACATCGATATGTCCTTTGTTAATACCTGGGCAAGGCACTGGCTCCTAACCACCTTTACCATCTGAGCCCCAGGCGTAACCGCGTTCCTCTGAATACCACATAAGCCCTAGAACCCCTAAACCCCTAAACCCTGAACCCCTACACCCCTAAACCCACACCCTGAAGCTCGATGCTGCAGCGAAGGAGCCCAGGGAGCAAATAACCTGAGATGGCAGAGAAAAAACACGCCCGGGAGACCTCAACATAAGGCTACATGGGTAGTTCTCTGTATTGGGGCCTTTATACGGGTGCCGTAATATATTGGGGACCTGAAAAGGGACCCTAATATGGAGAACCACCCTAATACAATTTCTGCACCTTGTCGTTTGCTGGTCCTTGGTACTGGATCGTATTTGGAAAGCTCCTTTCGAGAGCCACTGGCCTCAAATTAAGGGTTTCAGGGTTTAGGCAACCAGGGGGTTGGTTGCCTTTTGCTTTTTCGACTTCTTGTCCGTCTACACCCTGTGGATAAAGTCATTCGCATCGGTTCAGGGCCTCGGGCAGTTGATCTACGGCTCATGTTAATTTCCTGATCTTTCCTCAAAACGAACGAAAACAAGCCAGGGCCAACCAAGAAGACAGAACTGCAGAACACACACTTGACTTCGCGACTGCTTCTGCAAGCTGAACATTATACTCTACCGAGGCTCTACCTGTTGCAGCGACGACAAGATCAGCGATCGAAACGAGGAGGACTCCAGGTAGCAGTAGTGGCCATCTCCACCTAGCCCTCGTTCATATGTCGTCATCGTTGTCGCAGCAGAGCACGAGCAGGAGCGGTGGTGGCGGTGGTGGTGGTGGTGGTGGCAGTAGTAGTTGTTGTAGTTATAGGTACGTATATTTTTGGCTGAAGTTATAGGAGGAGGATAAGGAGTTTAGGAGTCGGAGTGCTAGCTGCAGCAGCACCAGACCAGCTAGTAGCAGAAGTGGTGGTCCTAGCGGTCCTAGTTGTCGTATTGGTCGTCGTCGACGTGGTCGTCCTCGTCGTTGCGTCCTGTAGCTCGTGGAACTAGCAGCATTAACTAGAAGGAGTTCAACACCAGCCCGAAAGGGAGCAGGGGTCCGAGGAAGAGGAGAAGAAAGGATGAGGTCCCACAAATGGAGTGAACAGCTTGCCCCTATGTAAACACTAAAACCTAAACCCTAAACCTTTGCGTACCAGCGGCCAGGGCAAACTCTGAGATCTGCGACAAGTTCCTGAGACAGGCACAGGGATTCAGGGACAGAAAGCATCTTTTAGGGTTTAGCGTTTACGGTCACTGGTTGCTTATCAGAAGAGCACCCCATGAGACTGTCAGATTTTCGTACTTTCTCCGAGTGAGTCCCCTATTGAATTCATCCGGCGCCGCATAACAGCCCCTGGATCGTGCGCTTGGGAGTCGGCGTAACTAAGCCATGTTCCTGCACATCCCTCCGATTGTATTCCCTAAACCGTAAACGATACGCAGAGGGAGCCAAGGCACAGGGTTGCGAGGATTCCGAGCCGGGCGGTGCCCCCAAGCATGTAGACCAAGGCGAAAATGCCTTAGAATATTTCGCGGTTCGATAAGGGCTGGAGGTTATGTAGGGCCCAATATCCTAAACCCCCCATAAACCCTGGTAAATGCTAAACCCCAAACACTGAACAAGATGTGCCTCTGACTCCGGGGATTGGCGCATGTGCTTGCATATACGTGCCTCTATCTCTTTGTGTGCAGGTCCTGGAATAATTACTTGACCTTGGCTACTACGACTGATAACTTGACAGTCCTGAACCCTAAACCCGCCAAGCATGAACTGCTACTTTTGCTGGTGCAGGCCAGGCCATGGCCATCACCTCTCACCAGCCTAAACAAGATTCACAAGAACCACACACATAGACTTGTGGGCACATGTGTCGATGCGTATCTAGGTATACAGCCCTACAGTCGAGTACGGATTTGCAGCCGAGAAGTGCATTCATTCTCATGTCCTGCATGCCCAGATAGCGGTAAAGATATAGACATGTTAGCATGCAAACATACATGTACATCATGTACTGCCGTTGGTGATCGTCATTTCGACTCTGGCGAGCAGGTCGTATTCCACGGCCAGTGGTAGAAGCTAGAGTGCTGCCAAAATAATGGTAACAACAATAGGCCAGTAGGCATCAGTATATTGTCTCAACATGCTCATGATGATGATGATGGTGATAATGATGATGATGATGACGATGATGATGACGATGATTGCTAGTATTTTTATTATTAGTATTACTATTGCTATTATTATTATTATGGTTACAATTCGTATTCCTATTCGTATTACTACTGTGTTAGTATTGCTGTGTTAATTAACCAATGTTAGAGAATGTTAGTACAATTATCTTTTTTGTTACAATTACTATTATCATGATGCTGATTATGAATACTGTTACTCTGATTTTTATTCTTACGCATACCTTCTGCTGTTGATCTCGGCAGTGAGTGCAAACCCCCGGTCCCCAAGAGCCAGAAAACGAGTGAGAGTGTACTAAATAAAATCTATACTACGAAGAAACCAAAAAGAATTAACCATAACAAAGAAGGAGGGTCAGATCATCCACCATGTTTTCGCTCCGAGCTTGCGTAATGCGCAAGCGTACAAGAACGAGTCTCACCTGCCATCAGCCTCGTCTGAGCTGAAGCTAGTAGTTGGCCAGTGGAGCCAGAACGGATAGCGCACACAAGAACCTAGCATCCGTGCGAGTTGAGTCGGCAGTATCTGCGATTCAGCAATGACAAAGATCAGCTCTCTTAATTGCACTGTTCCATGCGTTAGTGAGCCGCTGCTTGTGGCGGAAGCACAGATCCCGCGCGAGTTCTTAAACAGTTTCTGTATCGCGCCTCGAAACGCATTGAATTGGCGCAGGAGTCATGTTTGCCCCGGTACCACAGGATGTCCTGGCCCTAGGGATGGCTAACTAGGAACTTCCCGCCCTGCGCTATCAAATGGCAGGATGGTTTCACAAAAAATCCTTCCAGCAAGAACCAGAACTCAGATGAACGTGCTGGGCTTCAGTGCCGTGTTGGAACAAGCGAGTGCCATGCTGATTTTAGGATTCGGCCGTCCATCTGTGCTCAGTCCGCACCTACTCCGGCACAATCACCAAAGGACAGCCAAGGAAAGTCGCCAGCAAAGGCGCATCAAGCCTGCAACTAGCGCTGGCTCTTGACGCTGGGCAGGATGGCCCATTATGGGCTCGTGTAGATCTCCGTATACATCTTAAACTCTAATATTTGTGGATTTGTATAGATCTTCACCACCACCTGGGCAAAACGTGAAAGCCTTCGCATCACCGGGTTTTAGTTAGGGTTTATGGTGAGCCGATCAAACTTTAATATGATGGAAGCTCGTGCCTCTTCTTGGCCACAGCCTCCGCTGGCACCACCACCTACACTGCAAGAAGAACGGGGTGAAAAAGGACTGCTGCCCTCGGGCATTCGTGGTTTGGACATCTATTGGCGCCTGCGGGCGGCGTGTGCTGTGCCGATATTCTGAAGCTTTGCGTCATCATGAAGCCTATTATACCGGAGAGGGTGTAAATGCTGGGACAAGCAGATTCTTCGTTGTCGAGCGACGTGTTATGGACATAAGATGATGGGCCATGCATCCCGTGGCCCAAAGCAAGATGCAGAGAGCCTCCGTCGAACCCAATTGCTCCGCAGCATCGGCAATAGCAGCGGCCGGGGCAGCATCTCGCGTGACAAGAGGCAGAGCCAAGGGTTTCTCGGGATTTGGGCGGTGTCATGGCCTCTAGTTGTATGTACTTTATAGAACGCACACGCAGAAGATTTCTCAGATCGACAAGAACTCCCCCGTTCCCACAGTGCAATGGCTCCGGGAAAGTTCAGCCTTCTGGCAGCTTCTGAACATCGGGGGGAGTACTCCGAATGCTAAGAAGCCCTGATACTTTTGCAAGGCCAGCACTCGAAGGACTTTGGTGTTCCCTTCTCTGCTTCGACAGGAAACTATTGGGATTTAATGGGGGTCAAGGTGGCAGCCTGACACAAAGCTGTCAGAGTTTCAAGCGAAAGGATACCAATGCCGTAAGACTTTCGCGGTCGTAGTCTCACAGCTCACAATCTTAAAACCCAAACACAGCCTTCAAAACCCGAGCCCAGTGAGGCTCGTGAGCGGCAGAGTTCGTCGCAAGGCTCAGTTTTCTCTCTTCGGGCTCAGGGTTTAAGGCTCCCTGATAGGTTAAGGGTTAGGGTTCCGTGAAAATCTCGGCAGTCGGTTGACGAAAATCGCTCCGACTCCACTCGCTGATCTGTCTACGTCGCCCGCAACCAATTCAGACTCCTTGGAGATCCTCAAGCCTTGAAGGGCCGTTTCTACGCCTGAAAATCACTGAAGGACAGTATGCAATAACCTTCAACTCGAAATCCTGAAGTGAATGCCGAACTCTAGTGCGTCCTGCTGGAGGAAGCAGCTCCTCGAACCTTATGAGGATGCAGATTTGAGCTTCTGGTTCGGAAGTGGCGAACTTTGGGATGGGGGTTGAAACTGAGATGGCTTGAGGAGTCTCGTAACACTACTTGTCCTTTGGGTCTGGCCCCTAGCACTCTGTCCTCCTAATCCCTTTTGGGACCACCAAACGAAGGAACAAAGCTCTGCACCGATCCTGTTGACAATGTGAAGGCTGAATCTGTCGGTAACACTCCTACTTCGTATTCCGGTTCTCATTTTACTACTTGCAGGGGTGGGTTGTAGGAGGTCGTCGTGGTGTTTCCGGTGGTGTAGGTAATAGCAGTAGTCGTCGTAGCCGTGCTAGTAGCAACGCCGTCGTCGTAGTCTTAGTCCTCGAGTCCTCATAGCGGCAATAGTCGTCGTCGTCGTCGGCGTTGTAGAAGTGGCAGTAGCAGCAGCAGTAGCAGTAGCAGTAGTAGTAGCAGCAGTCGTAGCAGCAGCAGGAGCAGGAGCAGCAGGACCAGCAGCAGCAGCAGCAGCAGCAGCAGCAGCGGCTTCAGTAGTCGTCGTGAGGGTGGAGGTGGCGGTGGGGTGGTGGTGGCGGCGGTGGTGGTGGTGGTGGCGGCGGTAGTGGTGGTGCTGGTGGTGGTGGGCCACGTCTGGTTATGTTAGATGTCGGCATGTCGGCATTAAAAAAACAAAGCTCGACCTGATCACCATGTCACAGACCGAACAACTGGGGAATCACATGCCACTGATACTCCACGCAAGGCATCCTGCGGGTAGATCATCTTACAAGCACATATATTCAGGTGTCAAGTAGCCAGTTCATTCTGCAGGTGAGGGCACCACCTACACGGATGCTGGTGATGATGACGATGTCTGGAAGAGGATGGTGGTAGTCCTTGCTAATGTTACCTGTTACTGCTGTTGCTATTCCCAGCTATCCTTTCTCATGGATGTCATGCTCTCCCTGTCTGTGGCTGTACAACAAGGTAAGTTCCTGGATGTGAACATGATCAAGCTCGCAAGTACGTTGGTCTCGACACACTAAATGAGCACGAACTGCTGCTCTCTGGCGTACAAACGACTATCCTTGCAGATCCCTGCAGAAGAAGGGGCTGCTCATCAGTGAGGCCGCATTCGCCAAACCACCATTGGACCTGGTGCCGTAGTTTCAACTCTAAACCCTAAACCCCAAACCTTAAACCGTCAACCCGTAACCTAAACTGCCGAGAGCGCCGCTGACCACTTGCATGGGCGCTCGAGGCTCCGACAGGTGAGGGAGGCTAAAGCCTCCCGGAATGCTGGGACTCGGCTACGCCTCACACATGAATTGTTTTTTTTTTTTTTTTTCCGGTGTGGTTTGGGAATACTTCCAACCAGGGCCCCAGTCGGCAGATTTCAGGGCCACCTGTCCAATTTTCGGGAAAAGCGGGTGCGCGGGCCCCTGCATTGCCAGGGTCCTGCGGCCCGTCCGTGCTCTTGGTCTGTCCAAGGCTTCCAGGCCGGTTTTCAATGACCCAGGCCTGCCGTCACTGGAAACTTCGAACAACCCTGACAGGGTGTGGGGGGCAGAGTGTTCGTTGGGAACCATTACCTTGGTTGAGAATAGTTGGGGTGCTTGGGGCATGCTGACGCAAGCGGGCGATAAGTGGGTGTGCCCCTCTTCCTAAAGTAAAAGGTGCACCACCGCGCGCCTTAACCCTACTCCCAAAACCCTAAACCCCCAAACCGGAGCTCCCCAGCTTCGCAGAAGAGAAGGCCCCAGCTTAGCAGGAACTCTATGAGTTGAATGGTTTAGGGCCTGTGTAGGGGCGTTAATAATTAGAACAGGGCCTTAGAGAATATTACACTATAACTAGAGTACAAGGAACCCCCAAAAGAGTATAGGTAATTATTAAGGCCCTTACATTAGGGTTTATAAGTCCTGACGTACTCCTGAAAGCCCCAGCTTCCCTGAATTGGGATTCTTTCCATGACATGAATCCAGAGACGCACAGTATCAACAGCATCTTGAAGGGGCAGAGCCCGACGGGGGCGGAAGACAATACTTATTTGGGTGTCGAGCAATTTGGGAATATGTCATGTGAAATATTGTGGAGTCAAACAGAATTGAATCGTGTAGCAGGTACATAAGGAGGCATGAGACGCGCTGCGCGAGAAAGCAAGGTAAACACGTTGTGCCCAAGCATGTTTGAAGTGCAGTGAGTAATTAGGACACTTGTAGCGACTCGGACTACGACTACGACAGCTACAACTGCCACCGCCCCCGCCACCACCCCCACCATCATTAATGCTGGTCCACGGTGCTGATCCGTGGCGGTCGTGACATTCATGTTCACCATCATTACATCACAAATTGCAATGATGATGATGATGATCATCATCATCATGTTCGTGATCACCATCATCATCGACATCGTTGTCATCACTGTCACTTTGTCGACTTCAGCAAGCCCTCTCTTTGGATCTTGTCGCATGCCGGCATCCACTGCTGTACAGCGGCTCTGATGGGCCTAAACCTCAGAACTCACGTAGGGCGGCCACTGTACATCCACGAGAGGCTTCTATAACGAGAAGCCCTTCTGTGCGGTGCTCCGAGTACAGCAGTACTCAAAAGCCTCCTGCCCGTAGACGTCTGGCAAGCTATCTTGAAGAGCATCTGCAAACCAACTTTTCTGGCAGCGCTGGAGAGAGCAGTTAGTGCTCAGTCTTCTCGAGAGCGCTTCTTGTCATGTTTGGTTGCGACGATGCTGTACATCATCGGCGTTACAGGGCTTCCCGGCGGTGGAACGTACCGAACATCCTGTGGAAGTCCCCCATAGCCGGCAGCCGGCGTGGCAGAATCTGCTTGACCCTCTAGCTGCCCTTTGGGTGCTTCGGATGTCATCGGGACATTGCAGCAGCACAGGGTTTCGTGCATCTGATATCCGTTAACATAGGGGTACTCTGTGAGCGACTGGAGTTGCATCTGACTGGTTTCCAACAGGCTCGTCACGATATCCCCGACCCCCCAGGCGTATTCCATCGAAGGATTCGGGTTCTGAAATGTGGCATCTTGACCTATGTAGTCCGACACACCATCATCACTTGGACATGCGGTGCCACCAAGGCAGTCATATTTCAGCCTCATGCTTTGCCAATCCAGTGCCATAGCAACTGCATGGAAGTCTATGATCACGAAGCGACCGCCTGGTCGCAAGACATTCGCAATACCCATGGCCCAGGTCTTCAAATTACTCAGCCAGTTTACCGTGCCATAGCTGGAGTAGACCACGTCAACGCTTTTGCTGTGGACAGGGTCGTTCAAGTATTCGACGACATCTCGGCGAGTGAAACGCACCTCTGTCATTGCGTCGAAGCAGTTTTGTTCCAGCATCTTGGTACTTAGCTCCTTTGCGAAATTTACAGCGAAGTCGCTGATGTCCACTCCATGCACTTGCCGAGGCTTTAACCATCGTGCAATCGACACAGTGTCTTGGCCATCGTTACACTGCAGGTGCAGGACATCCTTGCCTTGCAGGTCGCCGAGCAACTTCATGTCCTCTGCGAAGAGCTTGTTGCGGGCCTTGTCAACGTAGTCACTAACCAGCTGCGGTTGATGCCTGTGGTGCTGCTCGGTCGCCAAATTCCACGAGCTCCGATTTTGCTCATGCTCCTTCGTAAGCATTGTGAAGGCCTCCATGCTGTGTGGAGCAGGGAGGCTCTAGGCCTTACCGGCTGGAGCAAGGGCAGCTGGCCGGAACATGAAAGCTACAGCTCCATGGCCAGGGAAAAGACTCAAGTGGACTTTCACGAGATAGGAATTTCTAGAGCTGAGGCCAAGGCTGTCGACTGCAAAGCTGTTGTGTTTGTGTTCTCCTCATCGAAGGGTAGCAGCATGGCCTTAAAGCGCCATCATTCTGAGTCGCGCCTCCGAACTTTTCGAGCTGTGGACATGCATCCTCCTCAAAACACCACTAATGTTTTGGGCATGGTCAGGGTTGCAGCGTTTCTTGCCGAGAAACAGTTACATGCCCGTCGTTTCCCACATTGGATGCGTAGCGCAGCGCGGCCTCCGCTGCGCAGGAGGAGGAGTGCCAGTGACGAGGCAGGAGCACTGTGCAGGCTTGTCTGAATTAGGACGTATTCTCGAGGGAGCCGATTGTAGATTCCCACTTTTCTATTCTTGGCAAGTATGTTCAAGACACGCAGATCTGAATGACTCTGTCTGAGGTATGGCCCGCTATGGCTGTCAGGAGATTTAACGGATTCTCCAACTTGCTGCAATGCAAACCTCTAGGGTTCTTTGTAAGACAGACAAGCAGTAATTCTTCAAGCCCCGAAATAAATCCATTCCATCTGTCTATTCCGTGATCGGGATTGCAGTGGCCAACTGTGCCAACAGTGACGAAGGTTGAGTCTCGCAAGGTGGTTGGTTGTTATGCTCCGCGGAAACAAACCAACTCAAAGGACGCACTGAACCCTAAACCGATTAATGACGCACAACTGAGTTTGAAGACCGCGAGCACCGGGCAAAAGCTCCGCAGGAGGAGGTGGGAGGCAACTTACCCTTCTAAGACCGTTTCTTTCGGACTGGGAGGGCGTCAGACAAATTCTACTAACGAGCCCTATACATGCTTCTTTTACTTTGGGTAGGATTTGCAGTATGCATGCAGGATCTGACGGCGAAACAGCGGGATCCCTTGAAGATCGTAAGGAAACAGATATGCAGTCTTTACATTCTTCTGCCTCCTGGGTGCTCCAATGCAGCACGCCTCCCTAGCGCTCAAAGTCTCAAAGTAATCTAAGCCCTTAACCCTAAACCTCACCTTGCTTGGCTCCGACAGGTAGGGGTTGGCATCCGAAACGACCAGCAGCACGCGACGAGGCTGGCGGCAGCATGCAAAAGTAACGAGGTCAGTTTTACGGATTCAGAATTCTGCCGGCGTGCAACAACAAGGAAGCTCTGACGGAAACAACATGGAGCTTTGACCATGTTGTTAAAAGCAGACGAGTACCTCGGCTGCTTCCTCAGCAGTTGTAGGCGGTGCAACGGTTTCAGCCTGACAAAGGGCCGGCTTGCTTTGATGCTTAAACTGAAGGGCATCCCGCTGGGGCTTTGCGGCGTGCCCAATGAAAGGTTATCCACAGTCTATTTTGCCCTGAACGAACATGCAGGGACACACAATGTTCTCGTGGTTCATCTCAGGCACATGAAGTAAGTGAACCAGTGAACAATCAACGAGCTTCGCAATGAACATGCCCATGAATCTCAAGGTGGCATCCTAGTGCCTCCTCCCGCTTTCACTCCGTCGCGCTCATGACTCTGACTGATCGCCCCAAGTGCCCCAAAACTCTGGCGACGTCTACAGTCTGAGCTGCACAGTTTGAAGACTTTTCGTGAGCAGATGCTAAAGCCCTAAAGCATCACTCCTCGAAGGAACACCCCAGTCTTCAACACGATGCAACCCCTGTGCACCACACCTCTGCGGCACGACGCACCCGTGCCTGATCAACACCGGGGGCATGCCGGATGCAAGCACGCAAGCAGAAACATCATGAATATAATTTCACTTGGCTGTACTGCACTCGAAGTTCAGTGATTAGTACTGCAATTTCAGGGCTACAAAACCATCTGGCTCTTCTGAAGCTGATAACTGAAACTGGGTTCCTGTGGACCGTAATGTACTTTCGGAACGGAAAGGAGGACGCACCAGGTAGAAGGACTCGCCCAAAGCTCCTTTTCAGCTTTTGATATCTGCGAACCAGCCTGTTCCGTCATTTAACGGGATGCAACATGTCCACATCAACTGGTTTTGTGACTTCAGTTCAGTAGGCGAATAAGCACTGTCGTAGTCATTGATGCCTCTATGGCAGTAGTGAGAAATAACATCCCTACAAGTATAGAGCAGTACTAAAAGTATGAATGCACGGATGGCAGACCTTTCCGAAGGCTGCGGGGGTAGCCAGCCTTCAGGGGCCGTCCGGGAGCCGTAAACGTCCTGGCATTGATGCTTCGGTCTGTTTAGGGCTTGGGGCCTTTTGGGCTTTTAGGGTCTACAAAGGGCTTCCGGCATTTATTCTCCGCTTATGTTCAAATTGCTTTCACATACATACTTATCGAGAAGCAACTCGCCAACATCGGGTCAGGATCTGGGGTACATCATGGAATTCCATCCTCCACTGCCTCCGTACACCTGCACATGCATACACAGATATGTATGTGTCACTCGCTCTGGCTACTATATAAATAGATGCATGCCTATACATGCATGCTTTTGATGCCGCGATCAACATTGCAAGTAATCTTAGTATGACGACGACTAAACTGCCATTGCCACTTACCAGTATTGCAACTTACCAGTACTTTGATCAAGCAGCGATGTATGCTTTACACTTCTTTGCAGGATACAGAAATCTCTGGGGGCACCGTGACTGGAACCATATCGCCGCGACGACAAGCAGCACCAGGCATGACCGAGTGTTCCGCGCCATGGCTTGTGTGGTGGACCGATAACACAGGTCTTAACATGTAGATTAGGTTTCTGAAGTACATTGTACATCAAAATACCATAAGCCTCAAGGAACATCGTGGGTCGCGATTCCCCGCCAATGTCCACGGTAATGCCCATGCCCTGCATGGTGTCTTTGACGTTCCACACGGAGCCGCAACAGCTTTTGGAAAGTTTCGCTTGTAGCTGACCTGAGACCCCAAACCCTAAACCCTCAACCCCTAAACCCTAAACCTTAAACCCAACAACAAATGGGACTTATTCGGTCCGCTTCGGCCGATCGCCTTCTAGGAAGACTACAAGCCTGCAACCCGTCCATGCATTCCGCTCCTCGCGTTTCTGGGGTAATGCCTTTATAGGGTTTGGGGGTTCAGGGGTTTAGAGGTTTAGGGTCTAGCGGTTTAGGGTTAATATCCAGAGTCTGTTCCGGACCACATCCAAGCTCCTACTAGTTACTAGTAGAGTCACATACCCAGCCGGCACGAAAGTGTGGACAACATCTCCATTCCCCCTCAACTCGTCGGGGCCCATGCCCACCCACCGCAGCAACATCACGACCAAGGCAATCAGGATGGCGGTGACGATTGGCAGCACAGACGGCATCGGGATCTGGATTCAGCAACTCACACACTCACAGCCTCACTTCTTCCTCTACGCCAAGGCAAGCGCAACTTAAAACACTCCGACAGAAGCGCACAAAATCAATGAGTTCGGCCATAAGTATTGAAATCGCGACCCTGCCTGCATTCCCAAGGAAGCAAAGAATAGAGTAATGAAGAAGTCACGGATGTACTTGATCTTCCCGTTAAACCTTGGGCTGCAGAAAATGCACACCATTGCATACCAGCAGAGACGTCAAGTGTCTCCTGGTAGCCGCAGCGTACTGCAACCCTTAATCAGACTCCTCCTGTTGCCAGTTCGCAAACTCCGGTGTCCCTACTGTTCACTCCGAGATAGACGGCTCGTTGATAAGGGGCGTAGGGAGAGCTAACATAGGTCGCTGCTGTTTGACACCTTGCAGTCATCCTCGCCCATGCAACTAGCACAACTTTCTATAGGGGCCTTAACAATTACCATGCTATTGTGGGGGTTCCGCTTTTAGATATAGCATAATGGGCCCCTAAGCCCTGTTCTAATCATTACGGCCCCTACAGTACTGGTAGTCAACTTCCGAAGTTGCAGCGGATGTACGCCAGAGCGAGTCGAGCCCGGTGTAGGTCCGCGCAGCACCGAGGGAAGCAACAACCAAACGGGTAGTTCTCTAAATTAGAGTCCTTTTTTTAAGTCCCCAATATAGTACGGCACCCTTAGAAAAAGACCGAAGGGACCCTAATCTTCCAAACTACCCAAATGTTACCGGCGTCTAGTTTGTTTGGACGGCCGAAATCGAATACGACAAAGCAGGCACAGAACTTGGCAACGACTACGGCCACATCCGAAAGAAACATCTTGAGCGTGCCCAATGTTAATCATGTTGGTGTTCTAAAAGCTGGCCCTAACTGTTGCGTGTTGCTACGATTTTCTTGGGGCGGCGGCGGTTCATTAGGGTAGAGTTTGCAAGTACATTCATACAGCACAATAGTTCTACATGCGTTGTCGTTGCGGTGGATACTGCGACAGTTTCTTGGAAGAGCTTGGTGATGAGGCTCTGATGAGGGATGGCCTTGTAGGCAGAGCTTGTAACTTGTAACACTGGTGTAACTTGAACATGGCCTCCGTCCCCCTAGACATTAAATCCTAAACCTCCACACTCCTGGCAGTTGCAGCCACGGGGCTCTGCACTGTAAGGGAAGGTGGCGAGGGCCACTCCTGGCGAAATAACTTGCAGTGTATGGGGTTGGGCTTTCGGCTTACGGATACGGATTTAGGTGCTTTTTGCTGTGGACCACGGTTTCAGTCCTTCTTTAACCCTACAATCACTGGTGCAAATAGAGAGGCCCGGTCCTGCAATGAGAGCTGCAAGCTCCATGCCGACACCCACCTTCCCATTGCAATATAGGGGCATTAAAGATTGGAATAAGGTTTTGGGGCTTGCCTAAGAAATACCATGACCCATTCCTCAGGCCCTATCTTGGGCTCAGAGCCCACTTGACGGAGGTTTCTGAAACGCAGTGGTTCCTTTTTGGCGGAGTCCGTCTACACGAAGTTACTAGGGAACCCATCGTTCTTGGGGTCTACACATTCGGTTCCCATAGTATCTGATTTTAGGTGTTTCTGCCGAAGTGCAAGGGTCCATAATGCACCTCAAAGGCAGAGACGCAGAGGATCTTGCAGGTTGTATGGTTTAGGAGTTTGAGGGTTAACTTTAGGGTTTAGGAGTTTGGGGCGTAGCGGCACACACCCATCAGTAGCTGCTGTAGACAAGTACACTGCTGAGTTCAACAGAAATAGCTGAGCTTCCCGGCACAACCTTCACCCAGAAGACCCTAAACCCTAAAACCCTAAAACCCTACACCCTAAACGCTAAGCCCTAAACCCAAGACCCCAAAGGTCCGAACTGGGTGACCCAGTCAGCAGAGGCCCAGGCCCACGGCAGATTCGCAGTGACTCCCCTGGCCACTAGGGTTTAGGGTTTAGGGGTTTAGGGTTTCGGGTTTAGCGGTTTAGGGTTTAGGGTTTAGGTCTTAGGGTCTAGGGTTTAGGGTTTTCGGGCTTAGGGCTTTAGGGTTTAAGGTTTCGGGTGATACGTGGTCCACGGCTGCCTGCAATTGTCGGGAAGCCAAGACGCTACTAAGTACTCCTTTGGATCCGTCCCTTTACACGTCTTGGGACCCGTAGCGCTCTAGACCTGTGCACCATGCACCCCAACCACCGAATTAAGACCCACTCCCTGAGGTCAGTAGGTGTTGGAGCCATGCCAACATAGAGAATCCCAGGTTGCCATGGTCTCTTTCTGATTCTTCATTGCCTAACTCTGCCCGAACCGTTGCATATATTTCTGGTGTTGTGCAAATGCTCCCCCTGCACTGCTCCGAGCTCCGCACATGAAAAAGCACCACGACAAGGACAGGACAAGCATGAGCTCAACACTCCTGACTGCCATTCGGCCGACGGGAAACTTTCGGCTCACACTGGTGTTGGGGATCTTGATTGGCATCAAGCTCATAATATTCATGACGACATGTAATATGTATTGTGCTAACAATAAACGGTGAAATTTATATGTAGGTTGGATATTCCAGCATCGGGCGGGGCGTTGGCCAAGCCAGGAGTTTGGAGGCAAGCAGAAGAGACGTTGACTTGGGCAAACTCTCGGTGTCTGGTTTTGGCACCTGGGAATGGGTAGTTCATTCAAGTAGGGCCCCTTTTCAGGTCCCCAAAATAGTACGGCATCCTTACACAAAGGACCCCAAAAAGGGACCCTAATTTACGGAACTACCCAAATATCATTACGAAGAACCACAGGACAATAGTGCTGTAACGCTTGGCGAACTGCGCGGAGCCACTGTGCTGGAAACACTCTAGTCTTTCACCATAGGTTGGCCTGCGCTTGAAATCTGGAAGCTCCAGCTTGCACCAACATCACCTAGCCATCACGATCATCGCCATTGCCAGCATCCGTTTGGCTAGCGGTGGTTCCGTTCGAGCATCAGCGCATTAGCTCAAGTCGACATCACGGAGCCCGTAACAGTGACGTGCTTGGAAGTTGAATCGTCGCACTGAGAGTCCTGGAGGCGAAGAACAAGATGGCCGGCATCACAAACTTCGCGTAGAGGAGTGCGAGAACGATCAGCGCAGCAATCCTTGCAAACTTCTTCTGTAACCCTTTCCCTCAAACTCCAACTCTGTAACCCTAACCCCAAGCCGTCATTCCACACTAACCCTGAACCCTCATTTATTCTGCAATGCTTGCTCGGACACCTCCTAGATGCAATCAGACCAACTGCTGCCCGGAAGCATGCCGAACTGCTTGCCTTGGCAAAGGCCAGGACTAGCAGGGTTCGGGGGCTTGGGGTTTCGGCCAGCAGAGCATGCAAAGATGATAGTTGTTTCCCTGAAGCAGCCCTTATCCCTGTGCGGACCTTCCTGGGTTTAGGGCCGAGAGTTGGTGTGCCAAGATGGTACTTCTAGTCGAAGACTGTGACACGTAAGGCGGGAGGTTTGGGACCGAGTCCACCAACGCAGGACTGTAGCTGCAATTCCCCTGTGTTGCTTATATCAACGTGACTATTTCTGAAGCCTGGGGTTGACAGCTGGATGCCAAAAGGTCAAGTTGCATAGCGTCAAGAGGTCAGGCTTGGCCAGGTTCGGCTGAATCGCCAAGAAGACCATGGCCCAAATGTCCTCGCAACACTGGCTGGTCAAACACCGAGCTTTAAGTGTTGCCGAAGCTGGGCCCATTCCTGTAAGGTTGCTGCTGATTTTATCTGTCCAACAAACCCACGCATGTGTAAGATAAGATGGCATAAGGTAAGCGAAGATAAAGGTTGATAAGACGATCTGTGATGAGATGAGATGAAACGGACAAGACACTGTTAAGGTTAAACTTACGATTTAAGACACTGATAAGCCAATAAAACAGCAGATAATATGAGACACCATGGTCTGCAATGCCAAGCTCTCATATATGTTGTGATGTGATGTGATAGGATAGGACAGGCATGACAATGACATGACATGACATCACATGTTATGATGCGCTATGCTATGGTATGATAAGACATGATACGATGTGCTGGGACCGGAGGGGATGGGACAGTATATGACGGAATAATTTTCCGAATAATGGCAAATAATTAGTGTGATACAAACAATACAATCTTCAATCTTACTGCCCTCTCCAACTTGACCCCCCCCCCCCCCCCCCCCGCCCTCCGCCCGGACTCCGCACCTCTATTCCAAACAAAGCTGCACTGTCCTAAGACCACCAAATCCCTTGAAAGTTTGTGGTGACAAAGCCGGTGCCTGGAAGATAAGAATGCCCACGGTGAGACGACCGTTGGGCCTTTCACTCAAGCAGATCTGGCGCAAGCTGACTACTCAGGCAAACGTCTCAGAGGCTGCTGATAATTCTCGCCAGACAAGCCCAACAGAGTTTGCCCTTAACCGCCTTGGCATGAATCTTAGCAGAACTGTCACACATGTCGCCGGCCCTTTCCCAGGCGCCTGTCCGTCTCGCCTTTTTCTGAGAGGAGTTTCACCACCTGCAGCGTTCCAGAATTCGTCTCGCAAGGAAGACCCAACAGCAGAGTCTGCGCTGTTTAGGGTGTAGCGACATGCCGTGAGCTTTAGACGCCATGATTCTGTGCACAGGGCCCGGGTTACAGTGCACATGCGACCTGACATTTCGGCTTTGATTGTTGTAAGGTTTAGAGTTAGTAATCCACTCCATGGTGTAGCTGGGCTTCCAGAGACTGGTTTAGACAGTGGCAGCAGCCAAGGCCCAGGCGATCATCGTTGATGAAATCGCACAAACCAGCGCCACGTACCTGCCAAAGCCACGTAGGGGTTTCAGAACGCTGGAAGAAGGGACATTAAGACAGACCTTTCAACCTAAATAGCAGGATCCTGATTCTAATAACCCCCGATAAGCTCATCCTAGTTGATTAGAGGAGTTGCTACAGGCCTCCAGGGCTGCTGTACCTGAATCGACCGCAAGTGCACAATCTCACATTGCTAAGGGAATGCCCTATCGGGGCCTGGAACCGCGGTTTAGGATGTAGGATTCAGTCTAGGATTAAGGGTCTCAAAACCAACTATCCTGCCAGATCGGCTTCGACGAAAGAGTTGGAACTCTAAAGCTAAAACCTACGAGTCTGTAGCCTGTACCTGTCGCCGAAAAGACCTAGCATTTTAGTTCCTTAAGAATGTAGATCTTCTGGGCCTCAGGTAGCACTTCCGTTGATGTTGAAACCTCTGTCCCCTTGCTAACGAGAGCTTGGCCTCTCTCGGCCCAAGGCTCTCGAAGGGCGGGGTCGAGTCGAGTTCAGGAAGTTAGGGTTTAGGGTTTAGGGGTTTGGGGTTTAGGTTTTAGGGTCCAGGTTGGGGCTAAGGGTGTAGGGCTTAGGGTTTGGATTCCAGCACGACAGCTTCATGCATGGTCTTGCGATGCCTTGGTGTTGCACACGATTCTACAAAGTACTTGCTATCCTAAACCCACGACCTACACCCTAGACCTTAAATATCAGATTCTCCCAAACCCTAAACCCCAGAACCTCTAACTACCTGCTAAGCCCTGTCACTGTAAGCACTAAGTTTACTGAACCCGGCAGGGCACATGTTTGCATACTCGCCAGTACCGAAGCTCAAACCGAGCAGTCCGAGTCCCGAGAAGATCAGGTATTGGGCCTCGGTTGAAATCACACCTTTTTCCAACTCGGGTTCAGGGTTTTGGGATTTAGGGCACAGTTCTTGGAGTTTCGGGGTTTAGGTCTTGGGGGGTCTTGGTTCAGGTTTTTGAGGTCTTGGGTTTAGGTTTAGGGACTTAGTGCGACTTAGGGCCTATGTTTTGGGGTTTGGGGTCTAGGTCCTAAGTTGCGGGGCGAAGGACTTGGCTCTAAAGCTTAAGGGCTTCTTGCAAATGTCCTAAACCCTAAACCCTGCGGCCTCGACGCTGCCTTGTTTTAGCTCTAGGTGGTTGAACTGCTTTGGGGTATTTACGGGCATCTATCAGGGATCTACTGGGTTGAAGGGCTTTGGGAACTTTAGGGCTCAGCTTTAGGGTTGCCCTGCTGAAGGGATCCAGAGGTTGAGGGGTTCAGGGTTTCAGGGTTTAGGGGATGCAGGGTTGAGGGGTCTTTAGGGCTTTGGGGCTTCAGGGTCTACATGGATTTGGGGTTTGATGCGGGCTCCAACAATCGGGCTGGGAGCACTAGACACGCACACACAATGCCAGCTAGCAGGCTAGGTGGCCTAACCCTAACTTTACCAAACCCTAAACGCTGTAAACCCAATAACCCATGACCATAAACGGAACTGCCTAGCAGTCGACTTTCGCCTCGCGCCACTCCACTGAGCGCCCGATTTGCCAAGGTCCCCGGCACCAAAGCAGACCGGAAACTGGAAGAAGCCGGTCAGCAGCACCACGCGGCCCATCTGGAAGCTTTGGTTTTGAGGGCTTCCGGGTTCAGGCTTTGATGGGTGAGGGGAGACAAGCAGTTGGAGTAGTTGGAGTATGGGGTGATATGGAGTATAGGGCTGAATCCTGGAGCCTGGCAAGGATGTAGAGATAAGACGATAGGATATATTCCCATTCAAGCGCATGACACTTGCCTAGATTCCGCATCGCTGTTTCATCGAGCTCTGCAGCGAACACAGAAAATTGGAGCATGAGTTCTGCACCGGGTGATTGTAGCTGCCCTGTGCTTGCGTCAGCGACTCGAGTAGAATCATGTTGCAACTTTGTGGCCACTCCGGTACGATGTTCCTCACTTTGCAACAAGCACGCATCCAACGCTGAGACTGTCACTCGCAGAATCTCATGGACATCCAACTCCAAACCTCAAGGCAGCACTCTGCGGAGAAATCGGTGTCGCCCATCGCATTTCCAATGTGTCGATGGCAGACAGGCTTTTAGAATCTCAGGCAGGTGGCTTAAGATGGACTGTGACAGGTGCACCAGGAATCAGCAGAATCTTCACTGACCGAGGTCGTTGCCGATCATGAACAGGAGGAACACCAAGCCAAGGTTGGCGATCTCGGCCACCTGACAAGACGCCGGGCAAGGGCTTGGTAGGATGTGGGGAGGCAAATTCTGTCCATGCCCACACTTGGCTTTGTGCTTGATGGCTGCTGCTACCTTCGAGTTGCTTGGAAGCTGAGTGGCAGACGTTGTCATGACTGTGAACCAAGTCCAGGCCAAGGTTGGGGCCCACAAGCACACCACCTGGCGGAGCTCAGCGACTGGCCCTACCAGCTTTCCCTAAATCCTAGACCTTTTAAACGCTAAACTGGCCCTAAATCGTTAACCCATCCATCTGGTGTGGGCTGAGGACTGCGCCCAGCAGATATCCCAGGATCAGCGGCTGCTTCAAGACCCCGACCTCTACGCAAGCCAAGGCAAGGAGTTTTCATGACACTCGGGCATTGAACATAGACCCGATCATGAAATAACTGCAATTCTGCAATGTTCGCTGGACGACGGCCTAAACCCTAAACCCTATAAGGATTCGCTCTGCGAAATCCACGGAGTGACCAACTCGAACTTCTAGGACTCAGCCCTGCACGAAGAAGGCCACAAAGCCGCAACTGGTCAGACCTGGGCTTCGGATTGTTGGGGGTGAGGGGGTTTAGGGTTCAGGGGCCTTAAGAACGAGAGTAGGGGTCTTAAGAACGAGAGTAGGATTTTGAGGTACGAAATACCATGACTACGCTATTATATAATAGTAGGGAGTCCAAGTAAGGGGATATGCTGTAGATGGGCACCGAAATCTAAAGCCTCTCCACTCCCGCCCGAACGCTGAACTTGGAGGCCAGCAGAACGCAATGTTCGACAGCAGCTCGGACACTTCACCTTCAGGAAAGGCGGTTTAGGGGTCAGGAAGCTCGCCTGGCCATGCCGACAGCGATTCTTTCTGGGATTTGGCTTGCGGCAAGCCAGGAGAAAGCTTGAGGATTTGGTGTTGATGTGCTTTAAAGTCGAGCCTCAAGGCGAGCGAACTTTTCATGCCCACGTTCTGAAGCTTGCTATCACGTATGCTGAGTATGGCACACATCCGATTCAAAACTTGGAGTCTGACCGGGTACTATAGTAGTAGTAGTAGTAGTAGTAGTAGCAGTAGTAGTAGTAGTAGTAGTAGTCGTCGTAGTAGTAGTAGTCGTCGTAGTAGTCGTAGTAGTAGTAGCAGCAGCAGCAGTAGTAGATGATAGTAGTACTACTACTATCACACATGTATATGCGTCATAGCAGGAGCTGCAGTTTGTTGCTTTCGGTTGGTGGTCGGGCAAGGCTATAACAGACCGGGCCCCGCGCCGCTCAGCCGACGTCCGTGGTGTACACGATGCAGTCGACGTCCGTGTCCGGAATCGTGGCTGGTATCGTGGCTGGAATCATGGCTGGAATCCTGGCTGGAATCATGGCTCACGCCATCCGATGTGTCCACCTGGCAGGGAAACGTCTGATTTCAACTCTGTACAAGCACTCGTTGGTTGCACATGAGGCTGGGCTCGTGCTTCGATTGCTGCTGTAAATCGCTCAGCCATTGAGAAGTCCCAACCTGAACAGTCTCCCACCGGCGCGAGCTGCTGAACCATGTCAGGCTGTAGTGTGCTGGGTTCAAGGCAGAAGGTTGAGACTTGATGACACTGTTAGAGCAACCAGGGTGTGAATGAGAATTGGCCGGACGCACAACGGAAACACGCCCGCTGCTTCCAGAGCAACGGATGGACCAAAGGAATCTCCCACCAGAAAATCAGAAGCGCTGCATGAGAGCATAGGCTACCATGCATCGGAACAGACAAGGCACCTCCCACACGAACTCGCATCTTACTCATCATATGCCGACACCCGGAGGGTAAGCATTGCATTGCCCCCGCGAGGCAGCTGTCGTCTTGTCTTGTGTTGTTGCTGCTGCATACTTCTGCTGTTATGAAATGAAGTTCCGATGAAGACGACCACCAAGAGTTTCTTGCTCCGAACCGTGCGTAGTTCTCAGTGCTGATCACTTTATCTACCTCACGTGCGACCGGTTCCCAACCCAATTTGTAGCAGGAGGCCTCAACAGCGGCCCATTCTGTGTTGTACGTAGTCGTGGCAGCAGCGTGGTCCTGCAGGGCTTCAAGCCTGATGTATGGTGAATACTATACAATGGTCTATAATTTCACAGGCGTTCAGCTATTATAACATAGCAGTGCATACGATAGTATCGCAAAACGCAACATGACTGCAACAGAACATAACATAGTATTATGAAATATAGTTTTAACATAACAAAACATGCTATATCACATTATGTTAAATTACATCTTACCCATCCAATATGGTATTGCAGCCAAACTATGTTCCTCGATCTTCTTTTGCCTCGGGACTCGGCCTACGGCTTGGCGACCTTCTGAGCTGGCTTGCTTCCACCATCTTCGCGGACACTATGAAAACATGTCTGTATGCATACACACATACATGCATACATACATACATACATACATACATACATACCAAGAAGACAGACCAATATACAGACACGTCTAAAGATGTATATACCTATATGCATTAGGGCATACATACATATTACATGTATTATTATAGTTAGCCAACTGTATATTGTCTCTGTGTGTGTGTGTGTGAGGCCTGTGTTCAGTGATGGCTGTCCACTTTCTGTCATGTTTGTCTGCCTCCAGTGAGTGTGCGCCCATGCCGGTGAGAGCCAGGTGGCACGAAGAGATTCGCAAAGCCTTTTGTCGCGCTCAGGGCCTCTATGCAACCTGAATGCCACGAAATAAAAATAGTATATTCATGCATTATTCAAAAATAAGTATATATATATATGTATATATATATGTGTGTGTGTGCATATACGCATACATATATATATATATATCTTACACATATATACACATGTATGCACACACACATACATACATACATACATACATACATACATACATAGATACATACATACATACATACATAAATACATACATACATACATACATACATACATACATACATACATACATACAGAACATAACAG